AAAAATAATAAAAGTGAAACGATGTTCTCTGCAAGAAATTTCCTTCACTCAACCGCGAAACAATCCTCTCGAAGTCCTATAGAGATGATCGTGCTCTGCCTGATAATCGCTTCATTCGCCTACGCATCTTTGTTTCGATCTCTGATTGAATCGGATTTCTTTAACACTGAGAATTACCCCAGAATTAATTCTATAAGAGCCATCTCTCGTCCAAATTCGAACGAATTTGTAACAACCGAAAAACGTGAGTCGATCAATACTCAAGCCGTCAGACTTCATTTAAAGCAAATCATAATCACAACTCAACAAGATGATGAGGAAATAGTGGGACTGGTGGCGAAAGAGAGCCATGAGGCAGGTAAATCAAGGATAAGCAACGTCGGTGGCGGTGATGTCGACATATGGGAAGATCAAAAATTGTCGGAATTGGTAACCAAGTTTCGAAGAAGGGTTGAGAATGAGGTTTTCATCTTGGACGGTCATGCCAAATTTTACTATAATGACGATCTATGTTATAAATCAAATGAAACGTGTGTTGCATTAAATTCTCTGCCGATTGGCAACATCGACTCCGAGAAGAAAGTCACATCTCTGGTGTTGAACTACGCGCTTAATGCAAATAGTCCTTATATGGCTAATCTCGCTGACACTTGGGAGGATAAGGTGGTTGGGTTGAATGTAGAGAATTTTGTGGTCTTCAATGGTAAACGATTGCTTCCTCACGCTGAGAAAGGTTCTTTCGCCTGGCTGGCTTTCGTTGCCGGTAGTCTCGTCACCAAGATCCAAGAATTAATACAGGTCACTATCTCAAACAATACGAAGCCAGTATAATTTCTCTCTATAATGTCATTGTGTTGTTCATCTCGTTTTCTTGTCATTCATAGAAAGCAGATACCATAGACATCTTTGTCATCTTTGCTGGATATGTTTTAATGCATTGCACCTTCGGTCTACTCTTTGTCAACATGAGAAAGATCGGTTCTCGATATATACTAGGTGACTATTTTTTTTATTACCTTTTTTTCTCTTTCTCTCTCTCTCTCTCTCTCTCTCTTTCATTCCATATTAATCCGCTCTTTCTGTTCATTTTTTGCATTCCAGCCATGTGCGTTCTATCCAATGGTTTCTTTGCTTTCATGTTTGCCCTATTGACAATTAATCTATTTGGTGTCTCGGTGAATCCGGTCTTACTAAGGTATTTTTTACTTGAAACGCATGCTTACGACCGAAACAAGAAATTCTGTAAATCTGACTCTTCATTTCTCCTGTTTGAAATCTTCAGCGAAGCGATCCCATTCCTGGTGATCACCGTGGGATTCGAGAAGCCATTTGCTCTCACCAAGGCGGTACTCACCGCTACTCCCTCAGATCCCAATGCTATGAGCTCCGCGTCGGGTTTATATCAAATCGAGGAAAAGAAGTCCTCGGCCGTACCCTATAATGTACGAGATAGTGTTATCGCCGGAGTAACCAAGGAGGGCCCTATGATCGTGAGGGATTACTTGATTGAGATCGCTTTGTTATTCATGGGTGCAATGTCAGGTGCCGCGGGACTGCAGGAATTCTGCTTCTTGGCTGGTTTCATCTTATTATATGATTGCGTATTTTTGTTCACCTTTTATACCGCCATGTTGACCCTCAAGCTCGAGTTGAAGAGAATAAGGGAAACTCGACCGGTAAAGAAGCTCAAGGAAAGAGATGAGATAAATAGTAGCTCTGCGCACGATATCATTGAAGCTCTACATGATAAAGCGGTTGAGACCGAGACGGCAAAGAAAGTTGACAACCCCATGATTTCCAGGGTTAAATTGTTGATTGTAAGTTGTAACAAATCGTTTGGTTAGATGGAGAAGTTTCATCGTGTGATTGTCGATGAGTACAACTAATCATTATATGATTTTTTTAGATTGCGGGATTTTTAATAATGCACGTCCTCAATTTCTGCACGACGCTCCACACAAATGACGATTCGGTTCGAACGCCTCCGGTCACAGTCCACCTTTCACAGGTACAGACAGTAGATATTCACGATCCATCTGTGATGACAACGCTCAGCACCATACAATCTATTCATCGGTCAAGTCCAAAAGCCTTCTTACCATTGATCGTTGATATTGCGCCGCCAATGATCTTCAAGGCTGTTCAAAGCGGTAGCGAGAACACTACCCCATATCTGATTCAAGAATGTTACAAGAGTTTTGATTCCGTGTTTGACATGTGGTCTTCATACGTACAAGATTCCGTGCTTTCAAAGTGGATCTCGATTGGCTTGGTGTTTTCAATCTTTTTAAACGTCTACCTCTTCAATGCTCATAAGCAACAGCAACATAAAGCTGCTTTTGGAAGGGGAGGTCATTCGATGATGGATAACGCCGAGGACAACAATGCTTCCAATGTCGCTTCAATCCCACCGCTCGGAGCAGAAGTCGGCCCAGTTGCCGGTTCTATTGAGTCGAGCCTGAAAATGACGCCTTCCAAGAATCCACCGCCAAAAGTTGCAATACATAAATCGGGAACTAATGTTGTCAAAGAGGTTACTCAACCGATTACACTCGTCAAAAATAACGACTTCACAAAAACCGCAGACCTAAAGGTCGAGCATAGATCCGTTGAAGAATGCATGGACATCCTGAAATCTCCAGTATTAGGTGGTCCATCGGCTTTGACTGACGAAGAAGTGATACTGCTAGTTAACCACGGAAAAATTGCCACGTATGCATTGGAAAAAGCTTTAGAGGATCATAGGCGAGCGGTCAGAATTAGGAGATCCCTCATATCACGCTCTTCCGTAACGAAGACGTTGGAACGTTCTGCGCTTCCGGTAGAAAACTACGACTACACCAAAGTCACGGGTGTGTGTTGTGAAAATGTAATTGGTTATATGCCGATACCTGTTGGGATTGCTGGACCATTGAACATCGACGGAGAAATGATACATGTACCAATGGCAACTACCGAAGGATGCCTTGTTGCGTCGACAACACGTGGATGCAAAGCCATCAATGCTGGTGGAGGCGCCATCACGATTGTAACCAAAGACGGAATGACGCGCGGACCATGCGTGGAATTTCCAAATATTTCAAGAGCCGCAGCGGCAAAGGCGTGGTTGGAAGAGGAGGGATTCGAGAAGATCAAGCAATCCTTCGATTCAACCTCGAGATTCGCGAGATTGAAGAAATTGAAAGTGGCATTAGCGGGCAAATTACTGTTCATAAGATTTGCATCGACGACTGGTGACGCCATGGGAATGAACATGATCTCAAAAGGATGTGAGAAAGCATTGTCGCTTATGAATGAATATTTTCCTGATATGCAGATCATATCTGTCAGCGGAAATTTTTGTACTGACAAGAAACCTGCTGCGATAAATTGGATCGAAGGACGCGGTAAATCCGTTGTAGCCGAGACGACAATTTCTGGTGATGTGGTGCAAAAGGTGCTGAAAACAAGTGTTCAGGCACTGGTGGAATTGAACACATCAAAAAATCTGATTGGATCAGCGATGGCGGGGTCGATGGGTGGATTCAATGCGCATGCTGCAAACATATTAACTGCGGTCTTCTTGGCCACTGGACAGGATCCAGCGCAAAATGTAGAAAGCTCAAATTGTATAACACTAATGAAGGCCGTGAATGATGGAAAAGATTTGCATCTGACCTGCACGATGCCATCAATAGAGGTTGGGACCATAGGGGGTGGCACATCGTTGGAACCACAAAGTGCGATGTTAGAAATGTTAGGCGTGAAAGGACCACACCCTACTGTACCAGGAGCCAACGCACAAAAATTAGCAAGAATAATTTGTGCGGCGGTGATGGCCGGAGAATTAAGTTTGTGCTCAGCTTTAGCCGCGGGACATCTGGTGAAATCTCATATGGAGCACAATCGATCACATCAACATAACAGTCCTGTACAAAAGCCTCACCAAAAATCACCAGCTTCACCGAGTGGTACAAGGTCTCGATCAAATTCGCATTCTTCCCATCTTCCATCGTTACCAACATTAATCTCAACAATAAATGTATTTAATTGCAACTCTTCAACATCGAATGATCCTGGAAAGATCATACCTGGAAGTTGCATAAAATCATAGCAAGGATTTGAATTGATAGTAATTAGTCAGTTAGGAAATGTGATTTACTTTCTCTTCTTGTTCGACTTTTTTTTTAAAAAATTAAAATAAAAATTAAAAAACATAATTTTTCTATCAAATCGATTTTGAAAATTTAATTATTTGATTTGATTTATGAATCGAAAAGTTAATTCAATGTAAATAACACCAAATTGACTTGAATCTTTTAATCAATCGAAAGTTATTAGGAGTACTGTAAAATTATTAAATTAATTAATAATATAATTAATGACATGATAAAATTTATTTAAATAAAAATAATTATTAATTTGTTTCATTGAACCTAATATAGTAATAATTTTTTTTTAGCAGCTAGCATACGCCTAGTCTATTATTATATGGAACTATACATGTAATAGAATTGAATTCTACCATTTTTCAAATTGATAGAACTAATGGAGTCTTGACACATAAATAAATTCACATTAGAATATTTTATATAACTGGACATGCAACAGTTTATTAGATATGACATTGGTAATCCATCCAGTATATATTAAACTGAAATATTATAATATTAGAGAATCGAAAACAGTGTAGATCCAATGATTAATAGAAAAACCGAGTTACAAACTCATAAAAGTTCATACAATTAATTTTTAATCAAATTTTGTTAATCAAAATTAAAAAACATATACTTTTGAAATATAATAAATTACAAGATTTTATTTATCAAGAAAAATATAATAATAATAATAATTGAAAATTATATTTAATTCAAAAAATTCTTTTTAATAAATATTCAAAATTTAAAAAAAAAATTTTTTTAGAAACTTTTAAAAAAATTTTTTAAAATACTTGTTTAATCTTTAAAGTATATATATATATATATATTAAGAAAACCAATTAAAACAAAAATTTTTTAAAAAATAAAACTCTTTTCCATACATAATTTCTTTTTTAAAAATTTCCTTTTTAGTAATTATTTTTTAAAATTAAAGAAGCAACTATTTTTTCCATCTTTCAACATTCCAAAATTCTTTACTTATTTTTTATCTTCATTACAAGAATCTTGAAAATTAAAGAAATATATTGATATATTAAAATAAGACCTTTGGTCAAAGAAAAACAAGTTTGAAGTTCTTGCTTTTTCTTTGGATTGTATGAAAAAAAACTCATGGCAGTTACTTTTTTATAAATTTTTCTTGGAGTTCTTCCTATTTTCACTTCTTACTAATATACATTTCTTATTAAATAATCAGATTTTTTTCTTGAAAATCTTCTTTGTAAATAAAAAAACCAAACTACATATTAAAAATATTTATATTGTTAACTTAAAAGATCAACAATATATTCATTATTTCCTTCTTACTATTATTTAGCATATTTTGCTACATTACAAAAAACAACTTTTTTTCAAAAAAATTTTTATAAAAAAATCACAATCAGTTTATTCCTGTCAATTGATCAATATTTTAAAATCAATCAATTAAACACTATCAATTATTCAAACAAATCTATACTATAAAAACACTATATACTAATCAATATAAACAAAATCTTTTTTGGCAACAACTATTAAAACAAAATCATATTATCAACAAACAAACCAATTATATTACTAACAAACAAACCAATCACTAATCATATTAACAAAATAACAATACAATTATTACAATCAATCAACTATCAAAGAAATATATTACCAATACTATTGTATTCTTTGAACAATAATCTGGTTATTTATGATAAGTACACATATATTATATTTTAATTAAATGAAACTACCAAAGTAGCACACCTCTCTGAAGCATCTTTAACTTTATAATTGATTTATTTGTATCTATTTTTTTGTTTAGTATTTTATTTCTTTTCTATTTCTTATAATTTTTTTATATATAAATCTAAATAAATATTTATAGCTACTTAGCACTATCTTTGACAATATATTGATCTTAATATTTCTTTTTTTTTGCAACTTAGATAGTTTACTGTAGACAAGTTAGCATTAAACTTATTAATCAATTGGTCATATGAGAGATATTGTTACTTTTTTTATATATAAATTTTTTTTAATTTTATAATTATAATAAAGTGATAATATTTACTTACTTAAATAAATAAATAAATATATATATATATATAAGTTCAATTAGTAAGATCTTGCTTTATATGATATTAATAATATATATATTTTTAAGTTTAACTAGCAAAATCTTATTTTTTTTTTTAATCCCACAATCAGGTTGGTATCATTTATTTATTTAATTATAAAGAACCATTACAAGTTGAGAATCCATGTAAAGTATAAATTTCCCTGATCCAACTCACC